TTCAAAAGTAGCAGTAGTTGTAGCTGACTACATATTTTTGAAGTAGCTGTAGTTATAGCGAACTACAAAAATTTTGTAGTCAACCCACCCTTGGTAAACACTAGACAAACCATCCATACAAAATAAAATATCGCAGGGAAACTGTGAGTGTGGCTCATCGTTTACTCTCAGCCGATATTCAGTCTTTAATTTTTCTTAAATCATATTTCTTTCAATTTTCTTAAATCATATTTCTTTCAATTTTCTTAAATCATATTTCTTTCAATTTTCTTAAATCATATTTCTTTCAATTTTCTTAATAGTCTCGGAACAAATCATGCCTGATATTTTCAGTCCTGAAATATAGTTTGTCTAATGCCGTCGAAATATCCAGAACTGTCTTTTCCTCACTAAAAATTCGTCCAGACGTATCATTGGCCGTCTCTAGCATAAATCGGGTCATTCACATTTAAGATTCATCAATTTAATAACTTAATTAATCACAATACTAGCTTATTAGTATAGTAAAAGAACTATATGGGGACTATATATAATCATATAATGGTAATATAGCACGTCGATATTAATTCTACTTTAATTAGTTGATAATTATCATACACTTTTTTTAATCAACATTTTTCTATTATCGAAAAGAAAACTTTGCATTGTGAAATATAATTAAGTGCAGTTGCTACTTTATGTAATCTAAATTGAAGTGTATATAGGGACATGTAATCCAAATGATGCAATCTTAATTAAACGTAATTTTTTATAATCAATCATATCAACTAGTGTGATGAAACTAATTTAAAATAATTCATGTATATCTCAATACTGTCGTATAGTCAAGCACCATGGAAATATCGAACTCATTGAAACAGAATTGAGCCCTTTATAGCCCTAGCTGGAATCGTCGGAATTCTTTGGCTTTGCTTATATTTTTTTCAAGCCCAAACCAAGACAACCAACAGACTGTGTACAGCCATGGCAACTGGTCATGCTATGCTAATAAACCTGCATCTCAATGCGACAATAGCTAGGTTAAAGACAATACATTCGTGAAGGTTTGAATTGTTAAAACTTTGCATCGCATGGCCTCAGGGGCGAAACTAGCCCCTTTTAATTCGGGGGGTGTCTGCCAGAATTGCCCTGCCAAAACCGATGATGCCCTGCAACAAATTTTTATTTCTGGTCACTATTTTTCCCAAAAAGTCGGCGAGCAGGGGTGGTGGGGAGATGGTGTGTGTGCATGTGGGGGGATTGGAAAAAAATTTTCCGGACACAAACCGGTTAAATTAAGGGTCAAAAAATTTTTTCCGTACAAATTCCTGTTAAAACATGGGTGAAACCCTTATTTAGTTGGACCAATATCTGTACAATTTAGGTCTATAAATTCTATTCAATTTCCTCCGAAAGCCCTGTAAGTTACTTAATAACTCTACATTCTATTATTTAAAATCTTTGATTGCCCTGCCAATCCAGATGATTCGCTCTGACAATCCAGATGATTCGTATTTTGGGGGTGTCACATCCCCCCATCCCCCCTCACATTTCGCCCCTGCATGGCCTGTTGCTATGGCTAGCTTCGGCACTGCAAACTAGACCACCTCGACATGTGGTTTTGGATCGGTTGATACACGTTTCACAACCGAACTAATTTCTAGCTTAGAAACCTAGCTGCATGGCGTTTTTCCCGCTTATCAAACGGTTAATTCATTAAAGTTTTTTGTGCAAGTGTGACATGATCCACAAGAAAGTCCAAAGAACCCGCCTCGGATCGGTTTTCGGTCGCTTTAATTTAGATCGATCCTATGTTTCACGGCTCCTATGTTTCACGGTTGACTACCTGAGAAATCCATGAAACTCGCTCTGACCTTGTTTCCATTTTCAGCAAAATCCCAAGCGACGTAGCAGTACACTTTGCCAACCGATGCTGTCTGTCCTCTGGCGTTATTATTATTATTATTATTAGTTTAATAAAATCCATTTTGCAGCTAAAGCTGAATTACATGGAAACAATATTTACAATATTAAATATTAAAATTTACATTAAAATTTACGTTTTCGTCTCTTTTCCCTTCGTTTGGCGAACCTTTCTGCACGTTTATCTTCCTCGTTTTCATATGCATCTTGCCGTTTTTTATTCTCACCACTCGGCACTTTCTTTTTTGAAAATGTCGTTGTTGTATATGACTGAATGACGAAAGCAATCCCTGTACCAAAGATTTGTACAGGGATTGCTTTCGGTTGATATAGGTTCTCTTTAGTCACAGTTCCATAAAGTCACGCTCTCGAGAAAGCTTATCTTAATAAGCGAAGGGTTGATGCATGTTCATATTACGAGGGGTTGATACATGTTAAAATTACGAGATAGGATCAAAAACAATTTTCCGGACTCTAGGATGGAACCCAATAGAAAATATTCTTAAAAGAAGAGAGCTTCTAATTACGTCCAAGGCTATCCGTGGTATTGCACCAGAGCACATCTGCAACATGTTCTCATTCCGTGATAACGCCAATAATCAAACGTGGCATGGAGCAACAGGCGTGGGCTACGTCTTGACAAACCCAATAGATCTTTTATAAAAATACATTTTCGTACCGAGGAGCTAGTTACGCCTGGAATACATTTCGCAACGAAATTCATGAGCAATTGTTGACATATTATTTTTAAAGCAGTTCTTACTAAACACCTATGTTGATCAATGCGGGTTTATATACAGCCAATTCAAAAAAGGTTGTCCTTTGGAAACCTTGAACTTTAAACCTTAAACTCTAAGCGCGCAAAGCTTAATGGGAACACAAGTTTCAAGCTCAGTAATTAAACATTGCAGTTGTTTGTGAATAAATTATTCTTGTATATAAGGAGATATTTACCATGTCTCTAACAAATGGGCCCCATATATGATTTCTAAACTGATTAAATGATGCTCCCATTATGCTTTGCACGCTTAGAGTTTAAGGTTTACAGTTTAAGGTTTGCAAAGGACAACCTTTTTTAAATTAGTATTTAATCCTTAATACTCGCCTCTATTGATTTCTAGGCATTCTCCCTCCCGTTTCTGTGCGGATTTTGCCTCTTAAATTAATTTGCATCAATTTTCCTGCGAACTCCAGTCCCATCCGGATCGTTCGAAAGTGGATTATATACATTCAGTTGTGATAATTTAAAAAATTCATACAGAATGATATTACAGATGCTGTAATTTTGTAAATGTTCCTTTTCTTTTAAATAACCCCTTTAAAAGCAGTAATTAAGCTGAAGGCTTATTGTTTGTAAATACGTTTTTAATAATAAAATAAAAATAAAAAACAACTGTATTTTTTCCTGACCCCGGAGTCGTCTACTCACTGGCCCTTTTGGCTTTTGTATTCTTTTGTGACTGACACACATTAGCACGAAGTTCGTACAAAGTTGCTAGTGTGCTGGTACTCCTTGGTACGACCTGCCACCTTGACTGACCTATATAGCTATAATATTCTAAAATAGTCAACTATATATGTTAGGTATTCGATATAAAAGTTTGATCAAACCTAAAGAATCATTATAAATATAACTAAACTCACAATAATATGTTCTATTTTAAGGCACGCGTATTTGTGCTGTATCGGAAATAAAACACGAGTACGGAGCACGAATGTTTATGATAAGACTTAAAAACGATAAAAATAAGCATTGTCTAAGCCGAGAAAATCAAAGGTCTCAAAGCTAAGTTTATGTAAATGAATATGATTTCTTATCAGATATAAAACCACTGACACGGCATTTTCCTCATGAATTATTAATGCCTTTTTAAAATTATATTAATTTATGCAAACAGATATGGGCCATCTTCGCCAAATAGTTTTGTCTCGAAATTTTCATCTCCAAATGGATACACATTCTGAGTTGCAGCATCTTTCAAGTTGTCATCCAGATGTCTGCATGAATAAAGTTTCGCAGCGAACTCCGTTCATTTATTTATTGTTATTTCCAACACCTATACTGCTAGAAACTGAAGATCGCAAGAAGCTTGCCAAGTTAATTTTAATGTTATAAGCATTTGAATTTCCAGCGGGAGGCTAGTTATCACGAAGTGACTTCCTTTGTCTTTTGATCATGAATTATGAATGAGGTTTTTTATGACTTTTCAATTTAGAGAGCCTAGATGGGACATTAAAATCTTTAACAGTACAGTAGTAGCTCTTTTGGCGCTAAACACTTTACTTACTTAAAAATCATATACTTAAACTAAACCCATCCACACACGCAATTTTAGCTGTTTATTGAAATAATTAGAAAGCGGACGATATTGTTTACTTGAACATGCTAACATTTTGTTGGACCCATGTAGCTACACTCGTTGGTTGTTTCCCTGTGATATATGTGAAGTCATGATCATTTTCTCCTTCGTAACGACCCGCATTCACCTCTTTACAATACTCAATCAAACCATCAACATCCCACTCAGGAAAACCTTTCTGCAACCACGCTACCTTTGCTTCTTCATATGATTGCTGGGTGTACTTCACGTCTTTGCCAAGAGCTTCGCTAAACGCTTTTACCGAATCTTTGTAGGAGTGTCTGTTACTCACCAGAAGGTACTTCTTGCCTGCATGTTTTTCAGGAGAAAACATAACGATTGCTGCTGCTAAGCCGACATCATTCATACATATGGCAGGAAAACGTTTGATTGGATCTATAGCATCATAAACCACTGATGATTTCTTTATACTTTCTTCGCAAACAAAATAGTTCTCCATGAACCAGGGTAGACGAAGGATTGTGTAATGCAGACAAAGATCTGTTATGATACACTCGATATCGTGCAACTGTTTCCCAAATATAGTGTCATACGTACTAACAGGAGCGCCTAAGCAAAGGATATGTTTTACCCCCGCCTCCTTTGCAGCCTCAGCCGTCACACGGGTTAACTCTACACGATCAGCAGAACCTGCCACGACAATAAACAGTACGTCGACATCTTTGAAGATCTCAATAAGCTCATCTCGTTTGCCCATCTCCGCTCGCACGACTGTGACGCCCTGAAGGGATGTAAATTCGGCAACTTTCACAGGGTTTCGTACGCCAGCTCTGATATCAAGCTTCTCTCCGTAGTTTCTTGCAAGTGCATTTATTGTAGCTTTGCCAACATTACCACTAGCCCCAATCACAAAAACTCTACTTCGACATCTTTACAATCAAGAACAGTGAAGAACTATAACCAATGTCTATAATAATATGTTTGTTACATTTGCAATAATCCGACCTGGTCAGCTGTGTTATGGTATTTGATTACAGAGTAAAGCCGGTTTTCCACTTCGCCCGTATGCATCGTACCGAAACGTACTGGTGAGCATGCGCAGATTGAAAAGAGGTTTATAAATCCACGTACTTCCGGGTGTAACTTTTTGGCGTACTACGGAAGTACTAACCAATCAACAGTCACGAACCAGTAGACCTAGGCCTTTACTCGGCTGGCTTTGGCAGGTTTGGTAAATTTCGGGCTGGCATCTTTGGCAGATTTGGTCAATTTCGGGCTAGCATTTGGTAACGTATCGCCATGGTATCCTCCGCCCCCAAATCGCCTAGTCCTAGTCTTCTCATGTGAAAAAGCGCTGAATATTAAAAAAAGGCTGCAGTGTTTCCACATTTAAATCTTCAATTTCCATATATGAGAGCAAATTAACTATGTCATAAATTAACAAAGTTCCATACAATCACGTACCCAGAGTATGCCCTTTCGCAGGTTTGATCATATACTATACTATAACATGTTAATTTGCGCAATATAAATATTAAATATTGTTATTATTTATTAGGTGCTGGGTCATGCCCAGCACCTAACCTGCGAACGGGCATACTCTAGGTACGAGATTGATGCTATCCCAAATCATCAAACAAAATTCCATAAATTACCAATGCTATCCCAAATCATCACACTTTATCCCAACTTGGGATATAAGATTGATAAGAACATGATGTTAATAGGAAGACTGGTTAATAGAAATTGGTCCTTTTGAGTGACATAATCAGGAGGGATTATTCTAAGGAAATTTTATCACTGCACAAAATCGCGAAAACTAATAAAATTTATACAAATTTAGCGACATTATAGAAAACATTCTGACTGCCCCGAATAAGTGCATGCACTCTGATTCTGCAACTTAAAGTTTACCCCATGCATGTCACCAATTATTGCAGGCAAATGAGCCACAATCACCGCTAATGACCCCAAACCTGCATGCTGCATATTCTATTTCTTGCAAAAATATACACATTTTCACATATTTTTTGAATCGCATGCAAAACACCAAGCCGCCATATTGTTCAAGATCTAGTCTGTCACACTCTTGAAATAGATTACTCCATCAACTGTTGATCGTGTAATTAAACAGCGTCAAAAGTCTCAAAACAAAATCGCAGTTTAATCTTACGAAGATGACATAAAAGTGATTTCTTGAACACGACTTGGCCGCTGGGAGAGATACTCGATAAATATGCCACCGAAACATTATTAAATGTTTATTAATTAAGACTCAAGAGGTCGGCAAACAATGGCCGAGCTCTCATATTGCAATAGTTTTAAGTTCAATATTTTCAACCTGTACATTCCCAGTAAAAACTGAAAGCCATTGTATGTGGATTATATGCAAATTAGTATACAAGCAGTAGCCATTTTGTTTGCGTTTCCTGGAACTGAACAACATCGCATTTTATCACTGCACATAATCTAATTTATCACTGCACAAATTTAATTTATCACTGCACAAATTGGTTATCACTGCACCTTAGAATAATCCCTGGACATAATCGTTTGTCGTCTTTGATCCGTGTCGTTGAACAATGAAAAAAATTGTCGTAAAATTGCAGTTTGTGAGAAAACTGTAGGTCTACGGAGCGGGAACTTTTCGGATTTGAACTCAGCATGTTCGAAAGTGTTAGTTCCTGTAAAAATATTTCAGTTCCAAGAGGTGAGAAATGAAAGTGAACGATATAGGGACGCAGCAAACGGCCTATATTAATCACTTTGAATTATAGAGTTTTTTTTACATTATGATTATTTGCGAAATTCATGTAACCTTTACTGATAAAATATTTATTGAATTGTAGTTGTATAATCATATCAAACTTTCACCCTATTAACGCGAACATTTGAGTAAGCTAGTATCCAGTGCCTCGCACTGCAATTATGCGCGCATTCTTTATTAATAAATGTGGCAGACAGATCAAAGCGCACATTGCTTTCTCTTAAAGTAAAAGTATTGATTCATTGGAGAAGCCACTTCTTGATTTCTAAATACAGACAAGCCGGTTAAAAAAGCTCGTCTTCGTCTCGCATTTTCAACCTACTTGGCCGTATTTAGAAATCAGAGGAAGAACACTTACAGTGTTAGAACTAGTACGTAATATGTATAATTCGACTATGCTATAAATACCAGAAAAAAATACTAAAATCTGTCGCAATTCCGCAAGTCAACTTGTAAAATAATGAATATATATTCTTTCTTGCTTATATGATGTACGAACAAAGGCAGAGAGATTCAGTCGAAGCTACTTCTCTAGCCTGCGAACAGGCTCTCAAGCTGAATTGAGAGCCTGCATCGATGACTAATGAATTTGAATATCTGCCCCGTAACGTTCGTTTTTCCAAATATGGAATGTCTATCCTTATATGGTGTTGTTTACAACTTTCGTGCTAACTAAATTTAGACCGTGCAAACTAAATTTAGACCGTACAGTTTATACTGTTTTTCGAAATATAATTAGATATTGAAGCAAAAGTTCAAATGTTTTAAATACTGTTTTCTCAAAACAGAAAATTTCGTGCTTTGAGATAAGACGGCCAAGACCAATTTGATCAGTTAATGTGTTTTTATGCATAGTGCTTCAGCAGTTGACATATATAGAGCTCAGCGGAAACATATAAATTATAACATCTGACCAATGAGAATTTCGCGTCACGATTTGAGACGCAGATATTCAAATTCATTAGTCATCGATGCAGGCTCTCAATTCAGCTTGAGAGCCTGTTCGCAGGCTAATTATTCTGGCAGTTCCTCCGATCTGTTGAACACATTCAATATAATACTGAGCTATTACGCTGGTGTTGTTGTTGGAAGGACCCACATCAAGCCACATTACACGCCTGCTGTAAACATCAATCGAACCGTGGATGCAGAACCAAAGGGTTTCAGCTTATCATAGCCGTCTATATGCCACACATGATTTGGACTCTCCGTTTTATATTGTCCCCTTTGTAATCGATGTCTTGACCTGGCATCAACTCCTTCAGGGTCGGTAAACTTCTCCAATGTTGGAACGATTTCTTCGTCTTCCAAGACCACGTTGTTGTAAGATTCGCTTCAGCTGACGAATGCCCAAAACGTACCCGTGCAATAAACCCCAGAACAGTACAACTTTGCTGTACCCGGGGCCCATGTGAAAGTATCGTTCGATTAAATCAACACGCTTAAAATTATTATTTTCCAGAATAGGCAAATAAGGAGGTAAATAGCTTCGCATCTCAGATATAATTGCAAAAATAAGAACAACACAAGATACATTTTTATAGTCGACTGTATATATCGCTTGGATATTCGGCTTTTAAAATACTTGAGCAACAATCTAGCAAAAATATGGTGGAAAAGTCGAGAAAAAAGTCGTGAAAAAGTCGTGAAAAAAGTCGTGCAAAAAGTCGTGCAAAAAGTCGTGCAAAAAGTCGTGCAAAAAGTCGTGCAAAAAATCGAGAAAAAAGTCGAGAAAAAATTCGAGAAAAAAGTCGTGCAAAAAGTCGAGAAAAAAGTCGTACAAAAAGTCGAGAGAAAAGTCGAGAAAAAAGTCCAGAAAAAAGTCGAGAAAAAAGTCGAAAAAAAAGTCGAGAAAAAAGTCGTGCGAAAAGTCGAGAAAAAAGTCGAGAAAAAACGGTCGTGCAAAAAGTCAACACGATCCTTTAAGTTAGCAACGTTCGAAAGTTAATCACGATTCAAACAAACTATTAAGCGCGATTCAAAAAGTTGAAAGCAATATTCCGTGCAATAAACCCCAGAACAGTACAACTTCGCTGTACCGGGGCCCATGTGAAAGTATCGTTCGATTAAATCAACACGCTCAAAATTATTATTTTCCAGAATAGGCAAATAAGGAGTTAAAACAGCTTCGCATCTCAGATATAATTGCAAAAATAAGAACAACACAAGATACATTTTTATAGTCGACTGTATATATCGCTTGGATATTCGGCTTTTAAAATACTTGAGCAACAATCTAGCAAAAATATGGTGGAAAAGTCGAGAAAAAAGTCGTGAAAAAGTCGTGAAAAAAGTCGTGCAAAAAGTCGTGCAAAAAGTCGTGCAAAAAGTCGTGCAAAAAGTCGTGCAAAAAATCGAGAAAAAAGTCGAGAAAAAATTCGAGAAAAAAGTCGTGCAAAAAGTCGAGAAAAAAGTCGTACAAAAAGTCGAGAGAAAAGTCGAGAAAAAAGTCCAGAAAAAAGTCGAGAAAAAAGTCGAAAAAAAAGTCGAGAAAAAAGTCGTGCGAAAAGTCGAGAAAAAAGTCGAGAAAAAACGGTCGTGCAAAAAGTCAACACGATCCTTTAAGTTAGCAACGTTCGAAAGTTAATCACGATTCAAACAAACTATTAAGCGCGATTCAAAAAGTTGAAAGCAATATTCCGTGCAATAAACCCCAGAACAGTACAACTTCGCTGTACCGGGGCCCATGTGAAAGTATCGTTCGATTAAATCAACACGCTCAAAATTATTATTTTCCAGAATAGGCAAATAAGGAGTTAAAACAGCTTCGCATCTCAGATATAATTGCAAAAATAAGAACAACACAAGATACATTTTTATAGTCGACTGTATATATCGCTTGGATATTCGGCTTTTAAAATACTTGAGAAACAATCTAGCAAAAATATGGTGGAAAAGTCAAGAAAAAAGTCGAGAAAAAAGTCGTGCAAAAACTCGTGCAAAAAGTCGTGCGAAAGGTCGAGAAAAAAGTCTAAAAAAAAGTCGAGAAAAAAGTCGAGAAAAAAGTCGAGAAAAAAGTCGAGAAAAAAGTCGTGCAAAAAGTCGAGAGAAAAGTCGAGAAAAAAGTCGAGAAAAAAGTCGAAAACAAAGTCGAGAAAAAAGTCGTACAAAAAGTCGAGAAAAAAGTCGAGAAAAAAGTCGAGAAAA